TTGTAGTACAATATTTTCATCTAATAAAAATAGAAATATTTATTATCAGTATAATAAGTAGAAAGTAATAAATAATAATTGATAAGATAATCATACCATGATGTCTCCGATTGTGTGATTGTGGATTTGTACCACGGGTTCGTCTTTGTCCCCTCGTGCTTCTTTGTGGATTTTCATTCGTACCTGTAAATACATATACAACACATTATTAACTTATGCAATATAGATTTTAATTAAAAATATTATTTTGAAAATAATAATCTTATAAAATAATGAGAAAATGAAAAAATTATACATACGACATAATAAACAAAATATTATTTTAATGCATAACACATTATTAATTCATACCAATTTGCCTTCGATTGAGTGATTGTCGATTTGAACCACGCGTCCCCCTCCCGCTTCTTTGTGGATTAGGATATAAAATACTTTCATTCGTAATGTTATAAGCAGCACGAATTGAATGAAATTCCGAATCAATATTCTGAACAATAACTCTCAGTTCAGAATGCGTGGTTCTATTGTATTGCTTCATTCGTATTTGTCTTCAACATCTCAACCGAGCAAGTTTTTTTAAAACCTGACTGTCATCCATTTATTCAAAATAAAATTAAAATTAATAGAAGATAAATATTTGTTACAAAATTGGATAACTCGTTCATAAAAATTTATTAAATATTATATATAGAAAAATATTCTTTAAAAAAATTCCTATGGGGATTATTCTTTCTATATTGTTATCCATCTATTCAAAATAAAATTAAAATTAAAATAATAAAAATAATATGTTACAAAATTGGACAACTCATCCATGAAAATTTATTATATTAAATATAGATAAATTATTTTTTAAAAAAATTCCTACGGTGGATTGTAAAAAATATTGGGTTAGAAATTATTATTAAATATTAAATATAAAAAAATATTCTTTAAAAAAAATTTCTTATGGGAATTATTCTCTCTACAAATTGATAGTTATCCATCTATTCAAAATAAAATTAAAATTAAAATTAATAAAAATAATATATATTATAGGACGAAGATAAATATTTATTACAAAATTGGATAACTCATCTATGAAAATTTATTAAATATTAAATATAGATAAAATATTTTTTAAAAAAATTCCTACGGTAGATTGTAAAAAATATTAGGTTAGGAATTATTCTTTCTAAAAATTGATTTTATCCATCTTTTCAAAATAAAATTAAAATTAATTAAAATAATATATATTGTAGGAAGAAGATAAATATTTGTTACTTTCTACAAATTAATTGTTATACATCTATTATAAATAAAATTATAATTAAAATTAATAAAAATAGTATATATTGTAGGAAGAAGATAAATATTTGTTACAAAATTGGATAACTCATTAACTCATTCATGAAAATTTATTAAATATTAAATATATATTAAAAAAAATTCATACTGTGGATTGTAAAAAATATTGAATTTGAAATTATTATTAAATATTAAATATAGAAAAATTTTCTTTAAAAAGATTCCTCTGGGGATTTTTCTTTCTATATATATTCATATATTCAAAATAAAATTAAAATTAAAATTAATAAAAATAATATATATGGTAGGAAGAAGATAAATATTTGTTAGAAAAATTGGATAACTCATCCATAAAAATTTATTAAATATTAAATATAGATAAAATATTTTCTGTCTCAGGAATTAAAAAAAAAAAAGAAAACAACATCTAAATTCAAAAAGGCATTTCCGCTGGTAGTAGAAAATTTTTGTCTTCTACCAAAAAAAATGACTCAAAAATTATATAAAAATTCTAAAAAATTTAATTAATAAAAATGAATATGAATCAAATAATATGAAGATATAACAACCTGAAGAAGAAGTAAAAGTTTCGAAGAACAACACCCTTGCCTGAAGAAAAAAAAAAAAAAGAACACCTTGTAAAACTTGCTTGAAGAAATAAAATGAGTACACCCTGTAAAACTTGCCTAAAGAATTTTGTAAAATTTGGATAACACCCTGTAAAATTTGCATGAAAAAAAAAAAAAAAAACCCAGGAGAACACACTGTAAAACTTGCCTGAAGAAATAAAAGGAGAACATGTTCTAAAACTTGGCTTGAAGAAATAAAAGGAGAACATCCTGTAAAACTTGTCTGAAGAAAAAAAAAAAAAAAACACCCCGGAAATTTTCTTCTCCGGATGGCAATCTTCTCCAATAAAATAAATAAAGTTTCTGTTGCCTGAAGAACAACACCTTTGCCTTGTCTGAAAAAAAAAAAATAAATAAAATAAAATAAAAACACGACCGTAAAACTTGCCTGAATAAATAAAAGGAGAACACTTTGGTAAAACTTGCCTATAAAACTCGCCTAATTTCTTCTCTCCAGATGTCAATCTTCTCCAATAAAAGAAATAAAGTTTCATAGTTCACTATAAAAACTTCCGTGAAAAACTAATCCACTTAAAAATAAACTTCCTATGTTCACTACTGTGTAAAAAACTGTAAAAAAAAATAAAAAACTCAAAAAACTCAAAAACTCTCAAAATTCTGAGATAACAGGATTAGAGAATTTTACAAATAAGTGGGGTCCACCTTAAGCTCCTATATATATATATATGATATGATATGGATGTGTAAGCCAAACGTATATAGAGTGAAAAAATAAAAGGTTCTTATATATATTTTTTATTCTTCCATATATTTTTATTATTCTTCATGTATTTTATATTGTTTGACTTCAAATTGGTATCAGAGCTTCGGCTATGTCCAACAATCTAGTTTCTCATTCAATGGTGAAAAATTTGATTACTGCAGCAGTCTGATGAAATTATGTTTTGAATTTCAAGACTTGGAGTGTTGTGGAAGATGGTGTAGGTGCTCCAGAGGAAGAATCCCAACGCACTGCTGCCGAAAGAAATGCTCTGACGAACAGAATGCAACAACAGATAAAAGCTCTTTTTCAAATATATCAAGCGATTGAGATTCCATTCTATGAAAGACTATCCAAGGCTGGAAGTGCAAAAGAACCATGGAACATCCTACAGACAACATACTTTGGGCAAGATCAAGTAAAAAAGGTTCGCTTGAAATCATTAAGGGCTGAATTTAAAAAAATGGAGATGAAAGATAACGAAAAAGTTAGCGATTATTTTATGAGAGCGGATTCTCTTGTGAATCAAATGGCATCAAATGAAGAAGTTGTTGAAACCCAACGGATAGTCGAGAAAATTTGCGTAGCCTACCAAGGAAATTCGACCATGTTGTGGTAGAAATTGAGGAGTCGCAAGATCTCTCGTCGATGGCGTTAGAAAGTTTGCAAGGAAGATTGGAGGCCCATGAAGTAAGAATACTTCAAAGGAATTCCCAACGTTCCATTTCTCAAGATCACACTTTGAAGTCCCAATTTACGGGAGGCCGTGGTTTCTTTTGTGGACACGGACGAGCACAAAATCAAATCAGGGGACGAGGAAAGGGTGGCCAACCACCTACAGAAAATAAAGAGCGGCATGAAGATGAGAAATTACGATTTTTCACCCAACGAAGAAGAGGGCGTGGTAAATATAAAGATACAAAACCTTATGTAGAGTGCTATTATTGTCACAAACCTGGACATAAAATTTTTTATTGTTGGGAAAAATATCCAGGAAAGAGGCGTGAAAATGGTTTTGTACATGAGAAATGAGTAAAAAATACAGAAACCTTGTTGATTGCTTTAAATAGAAATATTGGGAATATTTGGTATTTAGACAGTGGGCAAGCAAACAAATGACTGGAAATAAAAATTTATTTTCCACTTTTGTCAAAGCTAATCATGGGTAGGTTATAATTGGAGATGCCAAGGCATACAAGATCGAAGGCGTTGGAGAAATCTCATTCAAGGCGAAGAATGGGAGAGGTGAGAAAATGTCTGAGGTATTTTATGTTCCTGGATTACAAAACAATTGGTTAAGTATTGGCCACTTAATGAAAAGGGGATTAATATTCATTTTGTTGGCAATTTTTTTCGCTATGGAGAAGAAAAATCAAATCGTAGCAAAATTGGTTTGGGAGCAAACAATTTGTTTTCTTTGAAGCTTGATATCTTGAATAATGCTGGAAATCTTGCTGTTAATGAGAAAATCTTCAAGTTGTGGCATGATAGGTTTGGGCACCTAAATTTGGGAGCTTACAGGACTTGTCGACTAAATCCCGATTGTATGAGGGCTGCCCAAAATCGGTGGAGTCACTACCAAAAAAATAGTTTTCTGCTACAGCTAGAAATTCGTAACAAAAAGCCAATTTTTGTGTAATTTGCGTATTTGCTACGCCTTAGTGACGACTTTTATCCGTAATGTGTACTCGCGTAACGAAATATGTTTTTTGCCATGCACATTTTCGTAACTGCTACTCTCGGTCAACGTTCCTTATGGCAAGGTTTTTGTTACCATATTTGTTACGAATATTCTCTCGTAATAAAAAGTCAAGCTTCCCACGCGTGTGCCAGGACTTTTAGTCACGATATTTGTTACAAAAGTTCCTTGCGTTACCAAAATATTTACTATGACCGCTTGTCAGAGTACGCTTTTTGTTACGATTTTTTGTTACGTCATTGAAGCCGTAATAAACAATATATTTTCTTATGGTCACGAAACCGGCCGTAACAAAATTATCACTTCATATTTGTTACGTCCAAAAACAAATTTTTGTTACTTCATTTCATTTTTTTGTTACGTCATTTTATTTTTTTGTTATGTCATTGAACCCTTAACAAAACTATCCATTCTTATGGTCACATAACTGGTCGTAACAACAAACATCCAAAACAACATTTTGCTACGTCATTTCTTCCTTTTGTTACAAAAAAATAGCGTCTCATGAAAAAGAGTAGTTGTGGTACAGTTGAAATTGTGCGTAACAAATGAACCTTTATGATCTTTCTTACACCAAAGGAAATTTGTATACAACTATGCTATAAATATTACAATTGGCCATAATTGCAAACAATAAACACTATTAGGGAATCACAACATAGGATATTAATATAACAATATTTACTAGTCGATGTCCACCACCAAACAACAAAATAAAGTAACCCATCAAAAAAGCCTAGCAACATCTTCGCTTCGACATTATGTACTGCAAAACACAAGCATTTTAAACATCCAACCTAGTAATAAGCTAGTGGGGACATCCATCAATCCATAGCAACAATTCTCACCACACAAAAGATAACTCCAAATGTCTATGCATCTATTCCATAGGTATTTCACATAGCCGTAACAACCTACCATCCAAACACATCTATGGCATCCAATCCATAAGGCAAACGGGGGCAAAACATTAAGGAATCGGTTGATATGCTTCAGGGGTGGCGCATGAGCTGCAATTACCAACAGAAGGAGGTTTAGTTTAAATAATATTTCTTTTAAGTTTTGGAGTTCAATAAACGAAAGGTATGAAAGTATATCCGAACATCCTTGTAGTTCCACTCAATAGGATCTTCACCGAAAACGTCGCGAATGGAAGTCGCCCCAACAATTGTTGGAAAAATAAATGGTGTGTCTGGGACTGAGGCGAATGTAACGAAGACCTTGACAAGGAAAAATGTGTCACCTACAACATTCACAAGTACAATTGTTGAGTATGTACTTCACCGTATATATCAACACACAATCAAACTGTATATAGAACATGCCATAACACATTTGAAGTGTAAACTTCCCAACTCATACAACATGATTATGTACATTCAGACATCTACTATATGGTATTCAACCCATGAATTAGGCACCAAAAACACTACTTTCTAATTTCCTGTGTGATTGCAACTCGAACTATAAACAACTCATCCACCAATAAAACCTTAGTAAAGCAGCAGATCATGTACAACATTAAAATAATAATTTCAATAAGTAATAAATCCATATGGTTACCCCCAAATGGGACTACTCCATGTATGTGTCGTATTATCATGTCTCATGGAGATTAATTACCATTTATACATTAAATATGAGCATACACCCGCTGATGAGTTCAAGTTTATAGTACCGACGACTAATAAATCAAATTATATGTTAATAATCCTCACATAATTATTAGAGAACTTTACCTTTCTACTAAACCATGGAAGAAACATATAGAACTTACCTTTCTACTAAACCGGTCAGATCATCCTGTGAGAAGAATATAAAGCTCTCGATTGTTGAGCATATCATAATTAATCAGTAGAGAAACCTACAAGAGTTCAGTTATAAACCAGTATTTCTCCTACATTTTAATATTTATTCGTTGTATTTACAGACAAGACTGATTGATAAGATCAAAAAATTTAAAGTTCATTGTTTATTCCAAGGGCTTCATACTTTGCATCTCATCTCAGCTACCACATTTTACCAATCATCGGACAAGAAAGTAGATGGGAAATTATGTATGGTATCTTGGACAAATTTTGTAACATTTAGGTATTAGTGAAAAGTATAGAAGAGTACCTGTTGAACATCCAATCCTCTAGCCCAAACATCTGTTGTGATAAGAACTTAGGTTTGTCCAGACCGAAATTCATTCATAATGCATCTAATTCCTTTTGAGGCATATCCCATGCATGGATAAAATGGTGAAGCTATTCTCATGTATTTTTCAAGAGGGCCAATCAATCTGATACAAATAAAAGGCGAGCATAAAAATACTTGCCTAATTTATTCTTTTGACTCATAACTATTGTGTACCATAAAGAAAAAATATTGCATATGACTACCGTTTAGTTAACAGATTCAACATAGGAATGCAGATCTAACAAAAGAAATTATCTTTCATTTCGTATTGCAGAAGATCACAGCCTGCTCTATTGTAAGGGTACACAAAGAGTGTCGAACTTCCATTCCTCTCTTTCTATTGCAACAAAAAACTGCTTGATGCTCTGTCACGGAAAAATAAGTGAGAATTCACAAAATGCAAGAACTATATAGTGTACCATCCGGAGAAATTAGATATCAATTCACCAACCCTTTCTACCAAAGAGGAAACTATTCACACTATGATTCACAAAATGTAAGAACTATATGGTGTACACTATGACTCAATCACTCACTTCTTCCTCCTTGGCGGATACTGTATTATTATTTTATTATTTTGATAGCTATGGTAAGTAAGTATTCTTTTGAACCAAAGATATTACAATAAAAATTACAAGGAAGCACATTAATATAATTTAAATTTACTGAATATCAATGTATTGAAACCATATAAAGCTATATCAGAAAAGCAGTACATGTTGCTTGCAATTAGATCCCAAATATTGATTAAAAATAATACAAGCACAACTATAGAACATGCTTGTGTGAGCCATGGGGAACAACAAAGGTAAAATATATATACCATCAAATTCACATTCTAGACCTTATATAAAACATTAAGGATTCCATATATTATTTACATTTTTCACTTTAAATCTTCCTTTGATTGTCTAGATTGTTTTAGAATAATATAAATTAAGAAGATATCCATTAGAGATAGGAAATAAGTAAGCATACCCAAAAAAGGAATAAATATACGACATTGGATACGATGAGTTAATTTTTATTACATGAAAAGCAAACAAATATAGGTAAATGCAGTACTGCAGTAGAGACTTGATAAAGTATCAAGGAATCAAGCTTGTACAAGCACTCATCATAAAACGTAATGAGAAAAACTTAGTTATAGGTATTATTGCATCTCAATCCAATGTGAACAATTCTCACTTATGTAAACTAACCATCGTAATAAAAGAGCAACAAATAAAATAACTAACAAGTTTAGGAAAAAAATCCTTAAAAAAAAAAAAAAGCTTACTAAAACGAGTTGCAAATTTCCTTTTGACAAGAGCACCCCTTGAATCAGGAATGTTAACATAACAAACATAGTTCTTACTTTTAACGAAAATGATAAACATAACATAGTGATGTGGCTGACTAAAAATCGAATGAGGAAGATAAAAACAACAATAAATTACAATTAGGCATAGAAAGTCAAATTAAATGAAATCATACACCTTCCGTGTTTATATTGAACCTGAAACAATTATGTGACTAATAACGAAAGATAAACACAACAAAAGGATATGCAAATATTCATTATCCCGTATGAATTGATTTTTGGTTTTGTAAAAACCTCATGCGGCATTCACAAAAGAAGAACTCAATCCATTTAACATATAGCATGTATTCATGTAACACAACAATCATTCCAATGTATAAGTATGTCAACATATACAAGAAAAAAAAAACATCAAACTGCATGGCTAGATGTTGAAATGGAACATAACAAAAATGTTCACTGACTTTCTAGTTTCTCCCTACTTCCTGTCTATAGCAGGGCATTCCTTTTGTTTCATATCTAAACTTTTTAACTACAAAAAAATGTTGTTAGTCTTTTTTGTAATTTCCATATCTATCACAATTCACAAACAACATAACTTTAGATTTCAAATGCTCTACTAATAAGTATGAATCACGGGCAGCAATGATAAGAAAAAACACATGCTGATCTAAAGCTTGGAAAATCATGATTTGGTCACCTACATTTCATTTGGTACACCATCCTCCACTCCTAGTTTTCCCCAACAATGCAAATGCAATCAAAACATTCATGCAATATCACATAAGCTAAGGAAAAAGATTAAAGGCAGCCATCTCGTGATACCCAAAGAATAAATCATTATTATGTTTGAAAGCATTGAAGTAGCAGTTTGGTGCTCGTAATTACTTGAGCCTTCTCCTTGACATGACTATAACACAATTCACGCAAATGGAAAGAATGCAATTGCCAAATATAATCTTTGAAACTTCTTTTTAACACTAAACTATGGACTAACCTTTTTCTGCAAATTTCAAGCCTCCTTCCCCAACTTTCAATTTTGTTTTCCTGTCACAACAAACAACTCCTAGTAAAAGCATTTGTGATCGATCCTAAAAGTGTGGTCAAATAATTCTAAACTACTAAAGTCTTCTTTGTAGCATCCTCACTTTTTCACCAACTAAACACTGAAAAAAAAAAAAAAAAACATTAAAAAGAGAAAGAGAGAAAGAGTGAAAAGAGATAAAGCTAAGATCTCCACTTTAATCCTTGCCAAGAATTCAAGCAATTCCTCACAAAATTCATAATTCATAATTTCACAAATCAAAGCATCTAATCAATCTCAAACCAAGAAATTTAGTTATGTGAAACCTAGAAGCTGAACTCTGATGTCTTTATACACGTTATAGATAGATCGAAAGCGATTGGGGTCACTCACAAAACAAATCAATCAAAATCGAGGGTTTTCAAAAAAGGAAACCAAGAAAATACCATGTCGCCAAAACCAGTTCGTTGTGGCTGCAAAACTCACTGGCGCGGCTTAAGAATGGTTGCGAAAGACGCCATTCTTTGATTTCATCCATGGGTATGTAGGGCTTCAAAATCGTATTTGAGAGGGAAAAGAGTGGAAATAAAAATTTCGAAGCGTGGAATCAAATATACAAAGATGGGTCTTGAAAGTGTTTTGATTTTTTTTAATGTATTTATTTTTCTTTTTTAATAAAAAATTACATATATTTGATATTAATATTTTATTTTAAAAATATCATCATATTTTACTAGTTGTTACGGAATGTTTGCGTTATAAATATTTTTAGGAAGATATTTCATTCAAATTGTAATAGTTAAAAAAATATATTACGGTATCAAATAAAATATTAAGGTTGACTAAATTGAATATTATTTGTCACAATATTTATCGTAACTAAAAATACCATTTGTTACAAACATATTGTTACGATGGCTCAATCCATGACAAAAGCCTAATTTTTTGGTACTAGTACAAAACGTTTGTGAAGAGTGCCAATTGGGAAATCAACATCGAGTGTCTTTCCCTTCAAAATCTGATTGGAAATAAAAAATGCCTTTGGAACTGGTTCACACAGATTTATGCGGGCCGATTAAAGTTCCATTGCTTGGAGGTAACCGATATTTCTTGTTGTTTATTGATGGCTTCACAAGGAAAGTTTGGGTTTATTTGGTGAAAGAAAAATCTGACGCACTTCCTTGTTTCAAAGAATTTAAAGCTCAAGTTGAAAAATTTAATAATTCTCATATTAAAGTCCTGCGAAGTGATCGTGGAGGGGAATACATGTCCTCAATGTTTTGGGAATTCTACCGGAACCATGGGATTCAACCTGAATTGACAGCCCGATATTCACCACAACAAAATGGCATTGCTGAACGAAAAAATAGAACCATCATGGATATGGTTCGATGCATGCTGAAAAGGAAAAATATTGTAAGAGTGGTATGTGATCATCACTGATTTGTGGTGATGAGAAAACTTTATTATATAGCCAAGATTATAACGTAAAGTATTGAAATTATAGAACATAATTACAGCAGATTGCGGAAAATAAGGACTACAATATATTTAAAGTATGGAAAATATACTACATAATTACAACAGATTGCGGAAAATAAGGAATAATACATTTTTAACTCTTTCCTTTAATACCTCCCATCAAGCGTTGCGTGGGGTGTGAGCAAATGTAAAGCTTGGATCGCAGAAGCTCAAATGCCGGTCGCGGCAGCGCCTTGGTGAAAATGTCTGCGAGCTGAAGATGAGAGGGCACAAACTGAGTAAGCAGCTTGCCTAAAGAAACAAGCTCACGAATGAAATGACAATCAATGTTAATATGCTTAGCTCGTTTGTGAGAGACATGATTCTGACTGAGGAAAATGGCACTTCTGTTGTCTCAGAATAGCGTCGCAGGAAGAGTGGGCGACTGATGAAGGTCTTTGACTAAATTAAGCAGCCACACAACCTCTGCCCCAGCATTGGCCAAGGCTCGATATTCAGATTCACAACTAGAATGTGCAACGGTAGGTTGCTTCTTGGCACTCCAAGAGACGAGATTTCCTCCAAAGAATATAGAGTAACCTTAAGTGGAGCGACGAGTCTCGGGGCATCTGGCCCAGTCAGCATCGGAATAACCCACAACAGAAGTTTTGGGATGATGTGTGAAGTGAAGGCCATAATGAAGAGTTTCTTTGACGTATCGCAAAATACGCTTCACGGCTAGAAAGTGCTCATCGGTAGGAGAATGAAGATATTGACTGACTGTTTTAACAGAAAATGAGAGGTCAGGCCTAGTAAGAGTCAGATACTGCAACGCCCCACCAAAGAACGATAAAGAGTAGGGTCACCAAACGAAGAGCTAGTACTCTGCAAGGATGTGCGCGCTGCTAGTGCTGTGGCAACAGGTTTGCAGTCTAACATTTTAGCACAATCCAGAATGTTATGAGCATATTTAGCCCGTCCAATTGAAAGACCATTAGAAGTATAAGAAACTTTTAACCCCAGAAAATAGTTCAACCGCCCTAGATCCTTAATAGCAGATTCTATATGAGTGCGAGCAATAAATTGCTGAAGAAGGGACCGATTATTTCCTGTGAGGATAATATCATCAACATAAAGTAGAAAGTATAGAAGTGACGACCCTTTCTGACGGCAGAATAGGGACGAGTCCGAACGATTCTGATGAAATCCTAACTTCAACATATACGAGCTGAATGCTGAAACCAAGCCAAAGGGGCCTGCCGAAGACCATATAATGCCTTTTTGAGCTTGCACACAAGAGTCGGACTCCGAGGATCAATGAAGCCCGACGGTTGAGCCAGGTAGACAGGTTTGTCCAGAAGCCATTTAAGAAGGCATTTTTCACATCCAGCTGATGCAGAGGCCAATTATGATGTATAGCTAGTGCTAGAATGGTGCAAACTGTAGAGGCCTTCACAATAGGACTGAATGTGTGATGAAAGTCCGAGCCGGGAACTTCTGTAAAATCCTGAGCAACAAGTCAAGCTTTGGACGCTCAATAGAGCCATCGAACAGGTACTTGGTTCGGAACACCCATTTTGAGCCAACAATGTTGGTGTTAGGGGGTGGAGGTACTAAATCCCATGTCTGATTCTGCAGGAGTGCATCAAACTCTTCCTGCATTGCAGCCATCCAGTGAGGATATTTAGAGGCCGACTTGAAGCCTCGTGGTTCGAAAGCACCTACCAGAGAGGTAAGTAAAGCAGTGGAAGCTAGATCAACAGGGTACTTCGGTTTGAAAATACCTGATTGAGATTGAGTGACCATCCGACGAGGAGCCGGAGGTGCCGGAGGTAGAGGAGGCGGTATAGGAGCATTAACCGTCTCAGAAGTAGGTACCGTAGATGGTGGTGATTCAGGCAATGGTGGAACATCAGGATCATCAGCCGGAGCATGTCCCGGAGTTTCCGGAATCAACTCCGGATCAGGAAGTAGGCGAAGTGGCACAGGTTCTGGGGGGTTGAATCAGATGTAGAATGAGCAACAGACACCGAGGTCGATTCCAAGAAACTGGATACAGGTAATCATGACCTGCAGCCGAAGCATTTCCAGAGAAGGGAAAACCCTGTTCATCAAACTGTGCATTCCGAGTAATATAGATGCGTGCGGAAGAAGGATCAAAACATTGAAACCCCTTATAAGCGCTGCTATGACCCAAGAAAATGCAGAGAAGACTGCGAGGAGATAGTTTGTTATCTGCATAGTGCCGAAAAAAAGGGAATACCCGACATCCAAAGGGTTTAAAAATAACATAATTGGGAGCAGATTGAAATAGCATTTCATATGGTGATGTGTTGCCCAGTGTAGCGGATGGAAGCCGATTGATGACATAGACAGCTGTGGCGAATGCTTCAAACCACAAAGTTGCCAAAGCAGAAGCATGAAATAGCATCAAGAGACCCGTCTCAGTAATGTGACGATGTTTTCGTTCAGCTCTCCTATTTTTTTGTAGAGTATATGGACAAGAGAGGTGGTGGAATATGCCATGTTGGTTCATAAAGTCAGTTACACGTTTGTTCACAAATTCAGTTCCTCTATCACACTGAAAAACTTTCACAACATGAGAAAATTGTGTACAAACAAAAGTATAGAAATGAACCAAAACCTCAAAAAATTATGACTTAGCACGAAGAGGATAGAGCCAGGAAAAGCGAGAGAATAATCTACAAAAACAACATAATAACGGTAACCAGCAGATGAGGGAACAAACGAAGGCCTCCATAAATCACAGTGCACCAAATCAAGAATAGAAGTAGCACGTTTTTCATTCAATGCAAATGGTAATTTCTTGCTCTTTGCCAATTGGCAAGGACAGCAAACAGTTGGATTGGGCAAAGCAGATGTGATTGATAAATGTCCCAGTTTATTTAACAATGCAATAGTGCTAAAAGAAACATGTCCAAGACGTAAGTGCCACAAATTGAAACTGGCTTCTAAATCTTTAAGGCGCAAAGATGTAAGGAGGGCCTATTTATTGTCACACTTCTCAAGCACATAAAAGTCATTCTCACATTTTTCCCGAGCTAGTACTTCCTTTGTAAACCGATTCTGAATGGTAAAACACTTATTAGTAAACACCACCTCAACATTGGAATCTGATGTCAGTTTACAAATGGAGACCAGATTTTTGGAGATATTTGGAACCACCAACACATCCAACAGATCAAGATTATGACATATACAACCAGAACCAATGTGAGAAATAAAGTTGGAGAGTTTGTATATAACGGAATCTCTAACCAATAAGTTTCTTTTGAAGCAACGCCTGTTCAGGCTACGAATTCAAGAATGAACTGCTGATATATTAACCAAACCGGTTTCTCATAGCAATTTTCGACATTGTTTGGATTGGCTAAATGTCACAAGCTAGTAGTTTCCCGATGAGGGGCAAATATGAGGCAGAATGGAGGAGTCTATTCATCTGACATCATAATAATGCATCTGAAAGTGGGATTGAAATCAATGTGGAGATTTGTTGATATGCCTTGAAGCTAGTTTGCCACATGTTCATCTGGCATTGTAATAATGCATCTGAAAGTGGGATTCAAGTCAAAATGGAGATTTGTTGATATGCCTTGAATATAGGGATATGATTTGGATACTAGATATTATATGTTATATTTAGATATATGATTTGGATATTAGATATTATATCCTACATTTAGAGATATGATTTGGATATTATTGACATAAACTTATGTTATAAATAAACATGTATTCCCATTCTAACAAGTGGCCAAGCAGCTCGGCTCTGAAATCTGTAACCTTGCTGTCATGAATAAATTTGTTCTTCATTTCTGCCCGTGGATGTAGCCAACACGTTGTTCATAAACCACGTAAATCTGTGTCGTCTTTACATTTTCTGTTAGGTATTTGATCATTAACCCTTATCCGTCACAACATTTCCTTGTACCCCATGTCCAAAAAATTTCTCTAAACCAAAACACAAAATGATAGGAGTTTGTTGTCTTTCTCTCGCCTTCTTCAAACTTGCCTCACAATATTGCAGAAATGGAATATTTTTTATAAGTATCCAGTTCATAAAAATGACAGTAACAATTC